CAAGTTGTGGTGTATGAATCCAATGGAACGTATTGTGCTGTAAGAAATGATGAGCAAACAGACTTCGGAAAAACCTGGAAAGATTTGTATGGATTGAGGCTAAGTGAAATGAGCAGAACCAGGAGAATGCTGTAAAAAGTAACAGCCACATTGTGCGATGACTCACTTTGATAGACTTAGCCCTTCTTAGCAATTCAAGGATCTACGACATCTCCAAAAGTCTCATGATAGAAAATGCTATCCACATCCAAAGAAAGCACTATGGAGTTTGAATGCAGATCAAAGCATAGTATTTGCCATTTTTTTCCTTCTGTTTTGTTTTGTTTCCTCTTTCTTGTGGTTCCTCCTATTGGTTCTAATTCTTCCTTACAACATGACTAATGTGAAAATGTTTAATATGAATGTATATGTAAAACCTATGTCAGATTGCACACCATCTTGGGGAGGGAGGGGTGGAGGGAAAGGGAGAAAAATTTTAAACTCAAAAGCTTATGGAAGTGATTGTTGATAAATCAAAATAAATTAATAAAAATAAAAAAACAACATTCACAATGATTTTAATGTTGTAAAAGAACAACTACAAAGCAATAAAAACGAATGCTTAAAAAAAAACAACTGTATTCTGAGAAGGGTCCTATAGGCTTGCCAAAGGGCCATGGCACACACAAAACATTTAGGAACTCCTAATGCCCTCTAGTGCATCCCCTCCAATTTATGGACCCAAAGAATTTCAGTAACCTACCCAAGGACATGCAACTTATAAGTACCAGGGTGGCATCTTGAACCCAGGTCTTCTGACTCCAAAGGACAGGATCTTTTCACTGTGTTGCACCATATCTGATAAACTCTTCCTCTTGTTCTTATTCCCCAACCTTCAGCTGTATCTTTCCCGTGCTTCTCAGAATTTTTCTTTGCCCTCTCATGTCTGATAAAGTAGAGGTTCATAGGATTGAGAGTCAGAAGGGCTTTCAGAGATGACCCTCATTTTCAGAATGAGTAAAAAAGAGGCCCAGAAAGGTTATGTGTTACAAAAATTGATAGAGTCAAGATTTGAACTGCAATTCTTCTGACTCAAAATCCAGTGTTTTTTCTATTACATCAAGCTGCCAGACTCTGAGTAAAAACCATCCCAAAGCCTGGGCCAGGCTGTCTCACTGGTGTGTGTGTGTGTGTGTGTGTGTGTGTGTGTGTGTGTGTGTGTGTG